GGCCCCTGTTTGAATTCTCATGCTTTGGAGAACTAACTGTTCTTCCAGAGGACAGCACTGAAATGCCGCGTTACCCCTGCGTGATCCTGCTAATGGCACTTCAGAATTGTTTTAGTTAAGTCATTTTAGACATAACATTTGTCATCACTGTGGATCCAGTTGTCAAGTATTAAGTTATCAGTTCTTTGAAGGAATACATTTTGCACGGGTGTGGGAGGAAGGAATACATTTAATAAAGCCTTACAGTGAAGCTCACGACTCACCTTTGAAGAGCAGGAGTTTTAAGTATGCTATTAAATATCTGTGACGGGCAGTTAAGGGAATTACCAGACAGTGAACGAAATGTGAGCTTGCCAAGCAAGGATGTTCCTGTAGATTCTGTCTTTCTTCAGTAATCTTAAAGGAACAAGTTACAGTTGAAGACTGAATGGAAGAACCTGCTGCTGTTGCTACACAACTGGTTTTTGCTGTTTTCATTCCTTTGTTGAGACTCTATCTTCATAAGCTTTTTAGCGGGTACATGTCCAATACTTCTGTCTCATGGTCAAGACAGGATCAGAGGTTATGGATGCTGACAACTGATTTGTCTGTTTTATTGTCTTTTCCCAATGACTGTATCTACTGCCTTGTCTTGATTTATAAGCAAAGCCTGGAAAGCCTAAAAAATGTGTTTTGTGGTTATCTAGGAATAATACAGAAAATGTCGATGTTAGTTTTGGTGAAGAAAATCAATTTCGTATAGTTTACTTCAACACACAGAATTTGAACTTTGAAAAAATGATTTATTGGTCTACGAGGAATTATGAATAATGGAGAAATGAGGCTGATATTCAACACGTGGTTTTCTAAATCTTAATATTGTTTGAAAAGCAAGTCGATATTTAGTTTTTAAAAATTTCTGGTGCATGTTCTGTTTTAATAGCAGTGTTAAATTTAGCAAAACATTTAATGGAAAGAGGATAGGGATTATGCAAATAGCTCAGAAGCTATGACTGTCTCAAACATTCTACTTGCTAGAGTAAATGACTGATTAAAAGTCTGTTTAACTGGGACACTTCTAGAATTTCTGCCATTACTATGTTAAATCAGCAGCAATAACCTTACTTTTAGGCAACAACAAGCCTTTTTTTGTTTTGTTTTACAGAACTTCCCTGAAATTGATTTTGTGTGAAAGGCTCATTAACCAACTTATGAAATAGAATTGTAATTTTATTTTAAATGTTTTAGTTAATAAATATAAAAGGAAATTGCATATATATGCCAAGATTATTTGGCTACAACCATCAAGTCATGGAACACATCTGCAATCTTCTTGCAAGTAGCCCAAGAGGAATAGACTAACAGTAAGAAATATTTATAAACACAACCCCCTGAGTAGCATTGTTTTGTATATGCAGCGCTTCATATGAATCTATGCTCAGTTCAAAGGGCATTTAATTTGCACCGATTGTGCAGGCACTGAGGCTACAAAGGTAGAAAAGACACACTCACTAATTGGGGCCAGGCTTCAAAGCTACAGGAAATGCTACATTTCGTTCAACTTAGCGTTGGAACCCTGACCCTGGTTTTTTGTTTGTTTGTTAAAACTTGTGTGTCTATTACGTTGTTGGTTTTTTGCTGTGTGATATATTTGATATTCTTAAAGAAGTGTAAAGAAAGATATTCCCTACCCTCAAGGTGCTTATAACAGAGAAAAAGATACTCCTGGTATAAAAGCTTCTCTCAACAAAAAGTAGTAAGTGGTAGAAATGTACACTGAGTGCCTAACCTGTGTGAGTGTAGGAAAGCGTTGGGCGTAGGGAACTATTTCCAGATAAGTTGACCCTCTAGTAAAACGACAGTTTGTTTGTTCAGGTCTGTCTCTACTCAGCTGTGGGGCATTGGCAACTTCCTAACGTGTAGTTTCTTTATAAAATGAACAAATAAAGGCTAGCTCAGAATGTTGGATGAATATTACATAAAGTAACATACAACAGTTAATATGGTGTTTGAAACACAATAGATACTTATTAGAAATATTATTTCCTTTCTTCCTTCGCTTTTTCATCTTCCTCCCCTCTTTCTAGTAGGAGCAAACAGCAGGAACCATGCCAAAGGTATCACACAGGGACAGCAAACTATCTTCAGGTGGTTATAAAATAACTAATTGTATCTGGTGATCCCTCTGAAGGAAAATTGTAGAAGAGTGTTTTAAGAAATAACCAGGAAATGAGACAATCACTGTAGGCACAGAACAGTAATGTGGCATTTCTATACCTTATGAAGAAGTTTGTGCTTTATTCTGTAGGCCACTGGGAGAATGACCTTGACTCTGACTCTAGAGACTAATTTGAAATCGTCAACACTGAGGTATGTAAACTAGTTGAGAAGATAAAATGGGCCAAGTGAAAAATGATGTCCTGGATATAGTCAGATAGTACCGATAGAGAATAGCATAAATATTTAGGAGATATCTATGGGGGAAAGGAACCAGTACTTAAATGTTTAGTGGGATTTAGGGCATGAGAGTGTGATAAGGAAAAAGAATGACCCCAGGTTTCTGGTTGTGTGGTTGAATAATGTCATGAGTTGACGTAGGGAAGAGAGAATCAGGAAGATGAGCTATTCTGCTACTACTGGAGGTGGAATTGTTAGTCATCTAGTAAAGATATGCTTCAATCTATAAGAAATTGCCAAATTGTTTTTGAAAGGAAATATTTTACACCACCACCAGAAAAATACAAGTTTTAGCATTATTAGTTTTTTAAATTTTAGCCATTTGTATGAGTGTGTAGTTAGTACCACATTGTAGGTTTTTAAAAATATTAATATACAGAAAACGTAACCTCTTTTGTGTGCATGCGTATTGGGTGAGGGGGGACTGTAGAGCTCTGTGAATTTGACAAATGTAGTCAGGTAATCATTGCCTCAATCAGGATACAGAATAGTTGCCTCACCCCCCAAATTATCTTGTGCTCCTCCTTTGTAATCAATCCCATTCCCATCCCCTAAACCCTGGTGGCCACTAATCTATTGTGTGTAGAATTTTGCCTTTTCCAGAGAGTCATAAAAATAGAAATAAAGTATACTTAACATAATGCATTTGAGACTTATCCATGTGGTTGCATGTATCAGTGTTGTTACTTTTCCCCACTGAGCAATAATCTATCATATGAATGTACCAGAGTTCATTTATTCCTTTGCCCACTGAATATTTGGATTGTTCCTATTTTGAGCATAAAATTGACAGAAATGGCCTTTATTGAACATTACCATGTTTCAGGACTGGTTTAGGTGCTTTATTTGTATGAACATATTTAATATCCACAACAATGATATCTGAAAGGCAAAGATTAATTAAAGCCAGAGTGGATGACAGATGTTAATTTTTTTTTTATCCATTGGCCAGCAACATTCGGACACGGGAACACGTGTATACTCGTGACCGGTCAGCAAGGTGTAAGGAACATTAGGAAATTTGTTCTCGATGCATTAGAGGCAAGATGCTGATAAATATAATGTTCATTATATTATAGTTTCCTCTTTATAAGAACCTTCAGAAGGAATTCCTCTTAATACCAAGGCAGCTATATTTTTCTTGAGAAATTTGTCTCTTGAACTATGGACGTTACACAATGTGTAGATGATTAGATGTCTTTTCACATTGTCTACTCACAAGCTCAAGAGTTAAATTTGTGAAGACCAGTATTGCAGGTTTCATTTACCATAATAATTTAGTTTGCATTTAATGCTGGGCTCCGTAAGAGTATCCCTGTCCATGCTCAACTTTTCACTGAGACAACACTGTCACATTCTGTATTCTAACAAATCTCTAACGTCTTCTTTGAAACAAAATAGGTAAGAAAGGCAGGTAAGTTAAGAGTAAGAAAGATAGAAAGGTTCACTGGCAGGCAGGCAGGAAAAGGCAGGAAAGGGCAGGAAAGTGGGCTGCAGTAGAGGGGGCTAGAATTAAACCCAGTTACCTTAGTTTTTTCTTTTCTGCTTACTTGCCAGGCTTCACAACTGGATTCAAACCTAATAAGCAACAGAATAAAAGCATCCCAGGTTCTTCTCAGTGAATATAAATTAATTCAAATCACTATTCAAAGGCCAAATTGGGAGGAATAATAGCGAAGACTGGCTAAGAGATATGAACCTCACTTTTGGGGGTGCTTCAATTTCTGATCTTGCATTGGGTCAGACCTGAGGAAAGCTATCACATAATCAGAACCCTCATAAATTCACTTCACTCACTTGCCTTTTATTGTTATGTATGTGGAATTTATCCAATCATCATCACAATGGCTAGTCATACAAAATCCTCTTCAGTGTTATAATGTTGAGAATATTTTCATTAAGTTGTACATTCTTTGTACCAGAGGTCACAAATTAGTGATCCATGAAATGAATCCAACCAGAAAATGTTTTTTAAACCTTTGCAATATTTGCCAACATGTTATAGTTAGAAAAACTTATGTACACACACAACTTATATACATCATTTGAGTGACTCATCGTTCCAAAGGGCAATACGAACAGGAGCTGTTAGCAGCTACTACTTTTAGGTGAGAGTTGTCCACTGTCCCTAGGACTCTAGAAGAGTCTAAAACCAGAAGCATTTATCTACATTACCTGACAGGCTCCTGTAGGTTTTTGCATTCTGACCCTAGGTATAAGTAGCCTAGGGTCATTTTAAAATGTATCAACAAAGTGGAGTTTGCCTCATATAGGAAAGGGGGTGCTCCTTTTCTGGCAATAAGACAATATAATATCTTGCATAACCACTTAGAAGTTAAATACCGAATGTGTGGTCAAGCATATGTGCTACGACTGTATGTGCATTTTTAAAATCCCATCACTCATTATTTACATATTAATTTCATAATTATTTGTTGTGGAAAAATGCTTCAAGTCCTTTTTCAAATGCATCAGAGGAATACACACATTCTAATAAGAGGGAACATTACCTAAATTCTATTTAAGAATGATTTGAGTTAAAAAAATGAAATGAGAAAATAATGTATATTAACACAATATTTTATTTGGGGATTAACTACAAACACATAATATTCATATGAGGAAAAATAAAATAGAATTTGAGCTCAGCTCCTCTTCATATCATTGTCATTAAATATTTTTCTTACAAAATACCTAAAAAGTCAAGAGCATAATTTTCAGGAATGCACTTTAATTAAACAAATATAGTAAAAGAGCAATTTTTCAAGAATATAGCAATTGGATTTGCAATTAACTTTTTACATGTAGTCAAAGATTAGACTGCACAATTTTAATATTTATAGTTTAATAGTCTGCAACGTGCCTAATATAAGTCTGGGTAACTTAAAAACGATCTACAGTACAGTAGTATTCAGTAAGTATGTATTTAGTATGTACAAACAAAAAGTGGTGGCTCCTAGGTGACTGTGTTCAAACATAAATTTCTTAAGTTTACTACATGCATTACAATTGAATTTCTTCTAAATATATATTTTTATTTTTCATTTGTTATTTTCAAGATCAGCGTCAAGACCACATTACATTAGATAAACTGGTGATACAGTGGTTTGATAATGGCTTTTGTAAAACTGACTCAAAATACTTTTATGCATAGGCAAATTATAATGTATTTATTTTAAATGTTATTGAGTGGCTGGAGCTTGTCACTTTATTTTGTGTTGTTTACAATGATCTTTGCTCAGATTTCTATGCTATTCTTTCAAAAAGTCAAAAACAAACACACAAAAGAATGATGATACAATCATATACCGTAAGTAGAATCGTATGTAGAATTCTTACCATGGTACATCATTGCTTTGTGTCATGAAACAGTTATTCCAGTGGAAGTTTCTAAAAGGCCTTTTATCTTTGTTTAAATGTATTGTTTATTTTGTATATAAATTGAGAAACTTGAAATTCAATATATATAATTCTTTTAAATGAAGTCTAGAACACTCAATAGAAAAAGTGCCACTGTTTTGAGTTTGGTAAATTTTAGATCTATGACTATTTGCTTATTAGATCTCAAATTATTTTGTCTTTTGATGTCATAAATTAAACAGCAATAGTATAACAACAAAAGCTAATCACATGACCCTTCACTGATACCTGGAATAGAACATCACAACTACTAAGTTTTTTTATTTGACTAAGAATAAATGAGTCTCTGTAATTAAGCCAAAGTAGTAATGGAATTTTCAAAACTAATAGCCTTACGTTAGGCATACAGTAACATTTAGCCTTTAAGTGGATGGATACATAACAAAGTGAGTATAAAATTTAATTTGAAGTGCATTTTTTAAAAGGGGACTATGTGAGCCAAAAAAAAACCATTTTGCTTGTGGCTAAGTCAATTTTTATTGTGAAATTTTAAATATTTATAAAAATAACTAAAATTTTGCTGGTCGTAAATAAAGTGTATAGCTCTGTACTGTGGGACATGAGGGTGTTGACCTTAATTCAAAATTTGGAGATAGATTTTCAAGCACTCTTTCTGCAGGCACTACAGAGTTTAAGAGTGGTCACAGGAATTAAATCGAATAACTGATTAGTTTGAAAAAGCACAGTTATGAACTTAGATTGTTCAGGTGGCTTGTTACTTTTGCTGTTTTGGGGGAAGATCAATTTCTTAAAGGATTTCAGATCTAATACAGGATTTTGCCCAAAGGAAAAAATAACAAAACACCTCTCAAATTAAAAAAGAAACTTTTATGTATCACTCAGATCTACAGTTTTAAAAGGTATGTAACAACTAAAGATATCTACTTTGTAAGTGCTGCATATCTCAAATAGAGAAATTATACAGAATGTGACTGAATACTACTTTTTCATCTACTGATCAGAAATTAAATAACATTTCATAAATAGAAAGGAACAGATTTTTAAACCTAAGATACAATATATTTCATGTATGCTTTTATTAAATGAAAGTTAACTAATCCATATAACAAAATAGTCGATTACACACTCTTAAACAAAAAAATGTTAACATGAAACCAATACAAACAATAATAGCAGTTCTTGACAGTGCTAGTCCTTACAGGGAGCAATGAAGGAAAAATCTGGCTTCTACACAGTCAAAACAATTGGACTGATTAAACCATAAAATAATTCATTATGACTCATGCATTGCTATATTACACTGCTTTTTCTTTTAAGTTATTTTAGTTTACTGAATTAAACCTTTAGTTTTAAAATTAGGAAATCATTCTTTGCTCTTATTACTTGTGATCATAATGATCTAAACTGGTACTAGTCAAATGAAAAAGGCAGCTATAATGAATACCTGAGAAAGATTGAAAGCATCCCTCCCTAAGACTAACAAAACTATTAGCTAGAATTCCTCCTAATAACTGTTTTTTTTAAAAAAGGAACATGATATTCATATAATTATAAATTAGTAAACCAATATGTGATAAGGCTCTGAACATTCTTCCCTCCATAGTAACTTTCTGCAGCGAAGACAGAATCTGTTTTATATTACTGCCATCTGACGGACCATCCCTGGCTAGTTAGGGTGATGTGCTGGGAACCACAACAAAGGTCAGAGGTAAACTGTGCTGTAGGAGATTACCTATTTCTGCAAGAGGAGCAGGACAGGAAGTGGTGGTATCCAAGTTGAGGACTTGCTGACTGCGTTTTTATACATTCTCCATCTTAGAACTATTTCATAAAATTAATTTTCTACCATAGTGGGTTCAAATATACAACATAAACAATGACAAAAATTCCTTGGTAGTAGATATTTCTCTAAGTAAACTTTAACAAAACATGGTATGCTATAAAGTATTATTAGGTCTGACATATTTAGAGTTTATCTCTATGATAATACATAGTGGCAAACTAAATATAAGAAAAAAAGTCCACAGGTTATATCTATGAGTGTTCCTATGAAGATGCTTGGTTATATCAATCAGTATCGTGTGTTTTTTTTCCTTGTAACTTCTTATAGAAAGTAGATTATTACTATTATTACTAATTTCCTGTGGCCTGATCATTCTCTGAGAAATGGCAAATTCTAAGTTATAAACATATTATTTTACTTCAAAACCACTTCTTAAAAATAAAATTTCAACCTCTGATGGGCTGTCTTATGATTAATTCCACTGCTAATTTGTTTGAGACTGTTTTTAAAGATTTATACGCATTATTGTTTAATATTATCCTATTACTTCTCTTGTGAAATAATATTCATATAATAATATATATATTAGACTTTTACTACAGTTCTAGTTACAAATATTAACTATAATAAGTAATAGAATATATTTTATTCTCTAGTTTTTAAAGAGATTTATTTTTAGCATACAGGTGATTAATTTGTCACAATATGACAAACAACTGACCACAAATATTTAACCTGACAGGGACAAGAAAAGTACAATGTTTTTAAATTAGAATATTATTACTCACAATAACTTAAAATATTGTCTTTTAAATAAAACATTAAGTTTAAGACTTTATGATGGAAATAAACTTCAGGAATGAATTTAAGGTATAAAAGAATTTTCATTTCTATGTCCCTAAAAAACTAAAAAAAACCAACAAACTCTAAGTAAATGTTCTCTATTACTTTTGGTAAAAACAGCTTAAAATTGTAAAAGAAGGCAACCCAAAATTAGTATCAACTTTTTTTTATCTAACAATTGGTCTCCGATTAAACTGAAAAACATGGATAGAATAAGAAGTTAAAGACTGACAAGGTCCTCTAAAAATGATAACATTTTGGACATTATATCTTCATAATAATTGTGAAACAACTATGTTTTCTTACTTGAGAAGCAATCGTTAACTTTTATAAGAGAACTTTCTATAGCTTCTGAAATCTGGGATTCGGTATTATAAAGCAGAAACATTAGACATGCAAACACCTAGCATGCTACAGGTAACCAAACATCTGCAAATGATGACACATGCTGTGCTGCAGAAGGCAGGCCTTCCCAACACAATATGGTTCACAGTAAGGTTTAAGGTATAGGATTTCATTTTTGTTAATTATTAAAGAGTTATAAAGAATCCAAACACTAATACCACAAAGTTTATTGAATCACCGAAAAAATTTAGAAGTGACGTTAACAAACACACAATCCTATTTCAAGTAGGATTTAACTGTGAACTAACAACTTTATGTAATAAGCATTTATCTTTTGTGAAATGAAAATTAAATTGCTAAGAAAGCAGGATTTCAATTTTAGTCAGAAATTTAGCAGATGATGGCACAAGGAATGTTTTTTGCACAATTTTCTCTCAGTGCAGCATTGTGAAGGGTGTCAATGACAACATTACTCCCTTTAAAAAAGTACAAATTATTTTTATAAAATAGTAACAATGCATACTGATTTTGACAGTTTTCTTTCCATAACTCAAAATAAAAGGCATATACTGAAATTAGGTGATTTATGTAATTATTAAACTTAATCAGTGCATTTAGAAGCAGGCAGCTAGTGAGCTAATGCATAAGTTTCTCTTTCCTTACTGTATTTTTCAGACCACTTGCGAGTTAGTTCTAGATAAAGACTTGGTTTATGAGGCCGGTAATCCAGGTACACTGTATTACCGGTTCTTTTGGGCACAGCCTTTTCAATCTGAGTTCCTTCATGCCACTCATTGAAAGAGGTGATAGAAATTATACTGGGGTGGGCTTGGAGTGCGGCATTCAGAGCAGTTTCATAATACTTCCCATTGATTCGGTTCCGAGTGTTTTGAGTGTTCCACGGACGGATGCTGGTATCTATGTATCCTGGGCCCACACTTGGGATAAACATTAGTTGGAACTGATCACAAAATAACTTTAGCTTAGCCCAATTCTCATATGATGAGCCATAAGTAAAGCCATTTGTGGCAAAATATGTGTAAATGCCATTAAACCCACTTTTAACGATATCATATTTATGCCTGTCCTCTACTACAAGTGCAATAAACAATGCATCATAAGGAGAATTGCGAATGCTCCAAGACCCTGAGATGGTTAACAGGTTGGCCCACTGTTCAGGCTTTGTAATATAGGAATCATAGACATAAAACATAGGAAGAGAAATGCCGCTCTCAGTCTTGTGCCTGTAAAAGGCCGGATGATTTCCATATCTAGAATACGAACACAGGCAAAAGTGAAATAAAATTCACAGTTCATTTTCCATAGATAATAATTATGTACTAAAAAATGAAGGTAATCAGTCACTTATACAACTGAGTCCCCCTCCCCACCTTCTTTGGGGAGTCAGTTATATAATTATTAAAAATGCATTTTAATTCGATACATTAAAGAAATACGAGATACATTAAGAAACTACCAAACAAGAAATTTTCTTATATTGAGGTCTACAAATGATGACTAACACCATAAAAAGCCCATTTTCTACATGAATATATAAACTTCACTGTTGTATCAGTGGTAAATGGCCCACTGTTGCTGCCAAGTTTCTTTGTAAGAGGTATGGCATCTGTCACAGACTATTATCAGTAATACCCTTGAACAAAATGAAACTGTGTTAATAAATTCTTTACTTGTACTCAGACTAAATATAAATGAAAATATTAGATGTGGGTCCACTGCTATAAAAGCAGTTCACATTTCATAATCTGAACCTTCTTTTAAAGAGACAAAATTCTGTATTCATATGATTTGAAGAATAATATTTATAAATGTCAGTATAAAGATTTCATAAGTAGCCTAAAATACACATAAGTTACTAAAGAACAATCTTTAATTATTCATACAGAAAGTGAACTGTAAGGAACTTCAGAAATGTTCTTCAAAATGACTTCAATATTCACTACAAAATTAATTGATGAACAGAGAAGGAACTCACTTGTCTATAATATATATGACATTTCTGTACATGTTTTGATCATCTCGATTCCTATATGGCTCGATGTGAAAAGTGACCTAAAACAAAAATATTAGAGAAAAAATTATCTATGATATAAAAGTATATCCCATATTTTAAATTAATCCCAGGACTTAATAACCTTAATTTAAAATGAATACTTACTGAACACAGAAGTTACCAGAGAATTTTAATTGTAATAACATTTACTAAGAGCTTTCTCTGTTAAATAATATGCTTAATTTTTTATACATTTTACCTCAGTTAATTCTGATGATGCTATAAGGTAGTTTCTATTACTATCTTTATTTTCTAAATGAGGCAATAAAAGTAAAGATAGGTGCTGTAACCTGTCACATCCAGTCAGCTGGAGACAATAAAGGCAATCTGAATTCAGAGCCCAAATGTTTAACCACTGTGAAATACTTCTTCCTGTATGTTTACTTCTTATAAACAATAAATGAGGAGGCCTGGCCCCCATAGCTCAGTTAGTTAGAGCATCATCCCAAAACACCAAGGTTGTGGGTCTGATCCCCGGTCAGGGCATATACAAGAATGAACCAATAAATGCATAAGTAAGTGGAAAAACAAATCCACGTTTCTCTCTCTCAAATCAATAAATAAAAATTGAAAGAGAGAATAATTCAGGATATATTCTATATTCAGACATTATCTGTTTTTTAAGAAAAGCACAAAAGCAACAGTAACAACGAAACTCCAAAACAAACCATACTCAAGAAAAATCTGGATTCTTTTTTCAGATGTGATCATTAAGTGTACACTTAAATGGAGTCAACAGCAAATGCCTTTAAATGACAAATTCTTCTATTTAACTAAAACAGCATTTTACAAAATAATGTGTGTTTAATTTGTACTATTAATATCCACTAGTACTATAAACGGCAATAATTTTCAGAACGCTCATTATTATTGACATGATTTATGCATCTCTACTGTAACAGTAGAAAGTAACAAAAGTATTTTTTAAATACTGTGCACAGAAGACTCCTTTTTTTCAAATCAGTAACATTAGTAACAAAAATTTCAGGTGTTCATTATAATTCAACATCTGTATGTGCTCCCCACAAAAAGTCATTTCCAATTTTACCATACATTTTACTCCCTTTGACCCATGTTGCCCTACCTGTACCCCCTTCCCCTCTGGTAACCATCAGTCTGTTGTCTGTATCTGAGTTTCTGTTTTATTTCCACACGACTGACAGTACTCTGTTGGATAAAAGTGGGCATTCCTGTCTTATTTGTGATCTTAGAGAAAAAACTTTCAGGTTTTCATCACCAAGTATGCTGCTAGCTGTAGGTTTGTCATATACGGCCTTTATTATGCAGAGGTACTTTCCATACATACTAACTATATTCACAGTTTTCATCATAAATGAATGATGTACCTTATCAAATGACTTGTCCATCCACTGAGGATCATATAATTTTTACCCCTCATTATGTTAATGTGGTGTATCATGTTGAACCATCCCTGGAATGAATCCCACTTGATGAGGGTGTATGATCCTTTTAATGTACTGTATTTGATTTGCAAGTATTTTGTTGAGAATTTTGCATTTGTATTCATCATAGATACTGGTATATAGTTTTCTTTTTTTGTTATTTTTGCCAGGTTTTGGGATCAAAGTGATGTTGGCCTCATAAGATGTGTTAGGAAGCATTCGATCCTGTTCAACTTTTTGAAAGTGTTTGAGTACATATTAAGTCTACTTTGAATGTTTGGTAGAACTCACCATTGTGAAGCCATCTGATTCTGGACTTCTGTTTTTCTTGAGGTTTTTAATTACTGTTGCAATTTCTTTGCTAGTGATTGGTCTGTTTCAATTTTCTATTTCTTCATGATTTGGTCTTCCTAGGAAGGTTGTGTAAGTCTAAGAACGTATCCCTTTCCTTTCAGGTTGTCCAATCTGGTGGTGAGCCTTTCACAGCATTCTTTTATGATTCTTTATGTTTCTGTGGTATCTATTTTAACTTCTCTTTCATTTCCGATTTTGAGTCTTCTCGTTTTTTCTTAGTGTGTGCAGCTAAAGCGTTGTCAATTCTGTTTCTTTTCAAAGAACTATTTGATCACTTCATTGATCTTTTCTATTGTCTTTTTAGTATCTATTTCCAATGCTTTTAAAGGAATTTTTCATCTCCTGGAATTCTTCAGCTCCAGATTTCTGCTTGGTTCTTATTGAGTTATAATCTCGTTAGTAAAGTACTCCTGCTCATTCATTTTATTCCTGAGCTCACTGAATTGCCTTCTGAGTTTCTTGTACCTCACTGAGTTTTGTCATGACGGCTGTTTTGAATTCTTTATCATTTAGATTACAATCTTCCATGACTTTGAGTTTGGTTACTAGAGAATTATCCTTTTATTTTTGTGATACCATGCTACCTTGTTCATGGTGCTTATGGACTGTTCCTCTGCCAGTGCATCTGAAGTAGTGAACACCTTTCTTATTTAGGTATCATTTTGATTTTAGCAATTAAGCAGGTTAGTAATTAGAGATCTTTCTTTTGTTTTCTAGTAGATGGTGCTCTACATAGCACAAAATGTTGTTTCCTCTTCCCTGCACTACTGGTGCCTTTAGGGTTGCTGGTGCCAGGCTGCGACCTGTGTCTCTGCAGCTGGGGCAGTACTACTGTGGTCATGGAATCTGAGGCCAGAGTGCTGGCTGCCTCCACTGGGTCTGGGACACCGGGTCTTGAAGCACCACCACTGTGGTGGAGGGATGTAATGGGTGGGGGTGGAGCAGGGCTCACGAGCCCATGTGGTGTTGCTGGGAGGCCATAAACATGTCTCCACTGCTGGGAGACATGTCTCTACAGGGCTCTCCAGAGGTGCAAGTTCCAGCCAGGGCTGGAGCCAGGTTCTCAAGTGCCAACACTTCTGCTGCCTCTAACCTTCCACAGGGTTGTGGTGTGGGAGCCACTCCTCTACCACATCTGTGTTCCCTGGGGATGTCGTTAGGCCACAGTGGCTGGGGAACTGGGGTAGAACCGTTCCTGTCCTTCCCCTCATTCTACCTCTCCTACAAATTCCACCACCCTCAGGCATACCACCTGGATCTCCCAGGTGTCCTAGTGTGCTAAGCATAGGAACCTATTTTTTTTTAAACATATCTTTACTGATTTCAGAGAGAGGAAGGGAGAGGGAGAGAGAGATAGAAACATCAACGATGACTCATTGATCGGCTGCAGCCCGCAACCTGGGCATGTGCCCTGATCGGGAATTGAACCCCAATCTCCGGGATCCTAGGTCGATGTTCAACCGCTGAGCCACGCCCGGCTGGGCAGGTACCTATTTTGGATTATAGATGATTGACTACTTGTAGATCGAAGGGGAGATACAAAAAGGTTGTCTCATTCTGCCATGATGCTTAAAGATTCCATCTTTCTCACTAAAAAATTAGTTTTTGTTGATTCATATATAACTAATTATGGCAAATAAAACTATTTTGTATGTCCCTTCTAACTAATAGATTGTCATTTAAAGACAGTGGCATCTTTATTATTTGTTTAAGATCTGTAAGACAAATAACATAAGAATTTTAATTCTTATTACTAATTTTACTTGATTTATCAGTAGCCATTAAAAATCTTTATGGCAATCTAATAAACTTATTGATATCATTTTAAATTTAGGGTTCAGTCTCCAGAAAGCATGTATGGACTTCTATGCTACTACAATATGAGATGCCTTTGTTTCAATTACCTATTAAAGCAAAATGTATTTTTCTTTTTAACTTCAATTGAAAGAAGATTGGCAAGGGTATAGGTATTTTTATACTCTTAAATAATAAGGTTACCTTGAGTAATTCTTTTTTTAGATGCAGCATTATATTTTTAAATTATGTTTCCATTTTATATACAAATGATACCATATCTAAGCAAATATCCTGTCAAAATGAATTTGTTTTTAATGCTGCAAAGCATAAATGGCATCCTTCTTTTGTAAAATACAGCTCAATATATGTATAGTAGTTCAAACAGCCAAAATTAATAAGCATACAAAGTAAAAAATTTCCCTCATATATTTCAAAATTCTTAATTGTAATAAAATTACTCACAGATTTAATTAATGATGTGATCTGGTCACTATTTCTCTCTTTCACTTGGCAAAATGAAATAGACCAATACTAAAATAAGTTTTAACATGACAGACTACTAGTTTACCACTGAACAATATAGGGGTTAAGGGTGCTGAGCCCCTGTGCTTTCCAAAATCCACATATCTTTCGACCCCAAAACTTAGTTGTTCATTGTTATCCACTGGTGACTGGTTCCAGAACACCTCATGGATACCAAAATTTGTGGATGCTCAAGTCCCCCACATAAAATGACATAGATCAAAGCATACAGTTGGCCCTCTGCATCTGTGGATTCAGTCATGGATCAAAACCAGTACAGGTATTTATTGAAAAATATCTGTGTATAAGTGGATCCTTGCAGTTTAAAGGTTCTTCAAAGGTCAACTGTAAATATAAAATCAGATGTCTGCCATGTCTCTAAAGAAGGGAACAAGAGTCATATAAATGTTCCCGTATTTCATGCTTCTAGTTTTAACCTTGCCAGTCTCTATCCTACAGCAAAAGTGAACTTTCTAATGTGAAAGTGATCCTGAAGAGTGATTTCAGCAACATGCTGGTATAAAACATTCCTGATATTTATCCCCCTTTAACTAGTACTTAACTCCAAGAGATCAGAGGAGTCTCGTCCACCAGTAAAGCCTGTAAGACAGACAAGCCTCTACATGGGCTAGGAAACCAGAGGAGCAACCAAAATGCCTAGATGCCTCTTGTCACTGCTGGACAAAAACTGGGTGAGTACAGATCAGACAGGAACTCACACATTAGAGAAAGAACTTGCAGAAGTCTCACCTTCCCAAAGGGAGACAGCAGAACACCACTGGAGAGGGTGGGGGAGAAAAATATGATTTGGGGCACAGTAGAGGCTGTCAGGGAAACTCTCCCAGCACCACACCTCTGCCCAAAGAAATGCTAAAAAGTGCTGATTTATCTGGTGGAAGTGACCTCTCCCACAAGAAAAAAGG